TTCCCAGGGGACAGAAAGCTAAGGCAGCAGTTAAATGAGGATGGTGGTTCCATATTGGGATTCGCTCACTGTCATTATCCCTGCTCAGGTCTTCAGTCAGTGAGCACATTCTGACTCTTTGGAGAGACAGAGAGTGAAACGTAAACTCAGCAGGCGGCACACAGGATGGACACCAGCGCAGAGTCGCTCTGTGTGCTGTGCGCTTAGCTTCATGTTCTAGTGTCTAACTAGAAATCACACAAGTGTGTCTTATCTCCCTGGCTCTGAGCCCCGTGAGGTCAGGGAATCGTGGCTTACTCGTTGAAGGAGGTGTACTCACGCTTTCTTCATTGACTTTCCTCCTGTGAGAAACTGGCACACAGCATGAGTGGCCATGTGTTACAGAGAGAGTGGGGGCTGCTCTGCTGCTGTTGTCCTACTCTTTACATAATGTATTGAGAACTGATGAGATGCTGTCAAGAGTTTTGTATGAAATTAAAGGCGTAGAAGGTGTGGTGAAGAAAAACTTGATTTAATGTAGTTTTTCCCTCATGAGCAACAAACAAGCTCTAAATCTTATTATCAGTGGACTATTTTTCTATTAGAATTACTTTTTTTTTTTTAACTCCTTACCGTACAAAAACATTTCTGAGGGACGAAGCAGCATTTCTGGCCATCCTTTCACAGCTTCACCGTGGTTCCTCTGTTACATAACAGGGAACATGGTTATAGTGTTAGAGGCAGTGATGACTTTTTAAAAACTTTTGTCTGCATTTATTTTATGCTGAATTTATCCCTTTGCCATAGGTTTTTGTTTCTTCTGAGATGTCTTTTTCTTCGGTGCAGCCTGCTCTTCTGGCTTTGGAACAGTTCGTTTCTTTTCGCTGAGGATTATCTCAGTGTGGCAGGGAAGCTCCTGTATGGGTTAGTCTGTTCGTGGACGCCCTCAGTTCACAGGAGCATCTCTGGTGCTTCGTTCACCTGGATGTATATGTTCCATGACTAGAGAATCTACCTAAAAAGCCTTAAGTTCAACATCACTTAAGCATGTGCTGCAGAAACTCAGCACTTTTTGGTTTGGTTTGGTTTGGTTTGGTTTGGTTTGGTTTGGTTTGGTT